CCTCCCACCGGCCGGTACGCTCCCATAGAGAGGGGCTCCTCCGGGTGCCGTCAGCCAAACAATGCCGACTGGCGGCCCCCAGGGGGAGAGCCTTCTCTGTGGGGGCACCTACTATCTGGAACGAGCTCCCCCCAGAGATACGGAGGATCCCGGATCTGCGCACCTTCCGCCGCGCCTTAAAGACCTTACTATTTCACCAGGCCGGCCTGGCCTAACTTTCCCCCTCTTTTATAAAAGATTTTTAAAATTTTAAATATTTTTTAGTATTTATATATTCAATTTTAAATTGGTTTTAAAAGTTTGGGGTTTTAAATTTGTCGGGGCCAAAATTATTTAATTTGATTTTATTCTATTTTTTAAATTTTGTATTGTATGTGTTTTTATTGTTTGGCTGTGCACCGCCCTGAGTCCTTCGGGAGTAGGGCGGTATAGAAATCTAATAAATAAATAAATAAATAAATAAATTTACTCTTATCATTCCTCATTCTACATACAGACATTGCCTGGGCAACAGTCATATACAAGTAACCAGAGCTAAATTATATTTCTTCTGGCAAAAGCTTATGATAAATTCTGTTTTTATGACTATATTACATAGGTGCTTTATCACCTCATTGAATCACTATTCAATTTTAATCTATAAATATTTTAATCTCTTTGCATGTTGTGATCATGTGATTACATGCATATCCCATTTGTTTCTAGAAATTTTTATTTTTATCACATATCAATTCATGCTTTTATTCATATCAGACTGAACACTCTCTAAAGACTTGAACTTTAAAATGTAGGCTAAAATTTTCTAAGAACAATATTAAAAAAGAACAATATTAAAAACTGTGAGTACTAGTCCTGCCTTGGACACAAAAAGAACTGGGTGATCTTGAGCCATTCATTGTTTCTCATCCCTAAGAAGAAAAAGGCAATGGCAAATCACTTCTGAAATCTTGCCAAGAAAACTATAGGGACTTGTGCAGTCAATCACCAGGAATCAAGACTGATTGAAAGGCACAAAAAACCCTGCAATCAGTGCAATTTGCTCCTAGTTCAGGATATATATTTGTTCCATTAAAGCCACAATGCAGAATGAAGTTTTCAAGATAGGATGTCTTAGAAGGGACACAGACCTCATATTTATATAATACGTAATGTATAATATACATTGTGTTGCACTGGTTCCAATCCTTCCTATTTGGACAATTTCAATCAGACCTTGTGGGAGACTGGAGATCATGGCTTCAGGTACTCCAATAATCTACTTACTCCCTTATTTCATTTAACATCTACATGAACTGTTGGGAGGGATCATCCATGTAGGAGCCATGGAAGTTATCTTGGAGAAAATATCCAGAAGTCTTTAGGACAACGACAGGTGCTGAAGCTTGCTTTAAATCCAGGGATGTAGGAAAGTATTAGAAAAATACTCAGACCAATTCTCCCTCCTTCCAACTGTGAGGAAAGGAAAAACATAGGAAATCATGCATGATTTTGCTACTGTAGCCTATCTTAGTAAAGTATAGCTTAGTCTTCCTTTGGAGTTAGTCTCCTGATTTGGTTGATGATACCCAATTTTATACCTTAATCGTGGACCAATCATCACCTGAGAGTCTAGATGGAGAAGAACACGATGAGCTCAACAGAAACAATACTGAGTAGCTGTTGACTGAGAAATTGATATTTCAGGATGATACCAATGTAAGCTTTAGGCGTTGCTTCTTTATTAATAATTCAATGAACTATTCTTTTAAAAAAGGAAACACAAGCAATAAAAAAGTATTGCTGACCAGTTCTGGTCACTGCATTTGAGAAAGAGCATTGTATAACTAGAAAAGGTTGAAATAAGAAAAAGTAGCTACAATGATTAGAGTATTGAAACAGCTCAGCTATGAGGAAAGGCTACGTCTAAACTAACTGATCCCTTTTAACTTGAAATGAAGAAGAGTAAGAGGGCACACGATAAAAAGTCATGCATGACATAGATAATCCAGATACAGAGAGATTTATTTCCTTGTTTCACAATGGTTAAACTCCAAGTCACCCATTGAAAATAAATATGGCAAGTATCAAGACAAAAAGAAATACTTTTTTAAATTAAATATAATGGAATTTACTGTTTGAAATAACAGCAGCCACTTTGGATGGTTTTAAAAGGACATTTCATGAAAGACCATGTATTCAACAGCTATTAATAGCAGTTTATTACCTCCCAAATCGTAAACAGAATGCCATGTACCAGTCGCAGGGAGGAAATAACTATGGAATATACGGTAACTATCATCCTCCTCTTTAGGCTTTTCAGATTCTCAAATACATGCAGCAGCCCACTACACGACACAGAATGCTAAGCAGGACAGACCTGATCTAAACAGGCTTTTCTTATGTTTTCCTTGTATTTTCTTATTTTTTAAGAGATAATCATGGCTTCCAGTTGTTGCTTGATGTAACAGGGCACATTCAGTGCACACATTGCGTGGAAATTGATGGGCTAGATATGCTCCCTTGAGAAGACCTTTAAATTTCTCCCCACAGTTACATTCATGCCAGCAGAACAAAATAAAAAATAAAATAACCAAGACTCAAATTGTTTTCAAAGCAAAATTGAAAGTCCAAATTTGTCTTTAATTTCCACTAAATGATAGGTTGCTGCTATATTTCCTGGATGTCCAGTCCTGGATTCCAAGGTATTATGGCCTTCTTGTCCTAGTTCTAAAGTAGTCAGGATGTCACGTCCCACTCCCCCTGGGACAGAAATGGCATATAAACACCTCCCCCCCCAAATAAAATGGTTCCTTTAAAAAAAAGAAAAAAGAAAGCTCACCTGAGAAAGAATATCTTCCTATTCCTTCCTGGGTAGGAGTAGGAAGATATCATATTTAACATTTTATTTTCTTACTTTAGACAATATTTGCCCATTATCTAGATGGACAGATTAGATTAGATTAGATTAACAGATCAGGTTTAAGTTTTCTTTTACTTCTTTCATGTCTGACCTCCGTGCAGATAGGATTTCTTCCCATTCACTACACTCAAATGCATCTCCCTTTAATCTGTGGACAGCAGCTGGCAGAAATGATACATTCAATGCACATAAGTATCTGAAATGCCAGACCTTGGTTTCATCCTTGTGTTCTTAATAGATCAGATCAAAATAAATATTATTGCAATGCCAGTTTTGTTTTGTTTTTAAAGTCTTGTGAAGACTTTTTGTAAAACACTTGAAGAAGAAAAATATCAGACTCATCATTAAAGCTTATTTGTCCATCATATAAATGCTACGCTCTGTACCACAACACTGTGTCCCATATGTCTGAAATTAATGGTTGAGAGACTTTGAAAGCTTCACAGCTCTATGAAAACTGAATTCCCCCTCCTCCCTCTCGTGAATTTTCCATTCTGGTTCTGTAACAGTCTCAACTCCTACATTCTTATCTTTATACAGCATAGCAGTTACGTATGTTCCATGACAGTTTAGAGTCTAAGACCAAAAATTCCAATAGTACCCCTTGTAATTGAAAATAATTTTATTTTCATTTCATTTCATTTTCTTTATAATGTTTCCTTATTTTTTTTTAATCTTCCATTCATTCCCTTCATTTCTTTTCCTCTCTTCCTGTGCCAAGATCAGGCCTTCTATTCCTCCTTTCCTTTGTGATCAGGCTCAACTGGAGTTCTGTCTAGGTCTACTAATACCTAGGCCACACAGGCTGGGACAGACATTAGATGGCACCAGTGGGGGCTGATATATTTTTAATCTCTTTGCTGCCATTAAATGATAATCTGCATTTTTAAAGTGAAGATATGGTAGTGTCTTTGTTGCCAATACTAAACTACCTGAGTATTTTAAGATTTATCTTCTCCACGTAGATCTAAAAATGAGATATTTTTATTCTCAATTTTTCTGGGAAAAGATCTCTTAAAGAAACTGGAAAGAGGCTTTTCAACAGTAGATTTTACTTTCCATACAGCCCCCGCCTGCCCCCCCTACAAATGTGTCCTAGTTTCACAGCTTTAAAGATACATGTAAAAACATTTATCTAAAAAAAGCTTTTATCAGCAGCTGGCTTTGAAATATAATTTCAATGGCTTCTAACAGGTTGCCCCCCTACAATTTTAATGTCTTGTCAGCTCAAATATTTTTAACTTTTTAAATGTAATATGTTAATTTTCTTACTTAAACTGTATAGATCTTGAAGTTTCTGGCAGCAAGATAATTAAAATATGGTTTAACATTATCCCTCATTTCCTCTATTTATTCTTCACCTTAACAAGGTAGAACAATAGTTTACAGGCAGAATACACATGCTTTGCATATAAAGTCCCCAGGTTTAATTCCTAGCAGCACCTCCTAAAGTATTGAAAAATAACCTTTTTCCTTTAAGAATATATGGTTCTTCTGCTAAAATCTATTAGAATCCACAATCTATCATTGAATATATCCAAAATCAACGGACATAGTTTATGCACAAATGGATTACTACCTTTGTGAAACTAGACTGAAGTCTGTTTCTGCTTTCTTGTTCTAATGTGGATAAACAAGTAATGACACAAAAAGAATTTCTGGGAAAAAATGGAGAGAAACTAATTCTGAGCTAAACAGAGCAGTTATTTTATATCCTCAGATTCTACTCATATACAATGGAATAAAAACTAGCCAAATGCATTGTACAAATAGCCTCTATAGTAATTATAGGTCAGCATGCTGCACAAGCACATAAATTTAACAAGCTATTTTTAAGCTAATCATTATTATATGAAAATAGCCAGTAGGATTACTCCCAGCACTATTTTCCCTTCTTTTACATATAATTCTTCCACCCATATATCTCTGTATGTCCCACAAGATGAAGACTCTAGAAATGTTTGCATCAAGCAGTACATAGTATTAGAAAATCTAAAGAACTGTCATCTTTATGCTAAGGCTCCTGCCACAGCCCTATTCAATTAACCCTCATCCTCAACCTCAAAGGGATGAACTTAATGTTGGTTTTAATTTTCTTTAGGTGCTGCCCGAAAGCCAAGCAAGATAGCATCTCTCTTTATAGGCTGCTTCAGGAGCCAGAGAAAGAACAAACGAAGCAACAAAGCTCAGAACAAAGGAAAAAGATACCGGGCAGAGTAAAACAATGAGTCTGAACACATTAAAAGAGTAGGAGCTCCCTTATAATATAGCTGACCAATTATAAACTTCATCTTCTGAATGCAAGAATCTTTGTCATATAGCAAGCAGAGAACTAGAATTGACACATTCAAGCTGAGCTTAGTGACCACCCATTGCTCAGAATATCCTTCGTCTTTCATAAAGGCAAGAAATATTCTGTTATTCCGTTAAATTTCATGAATGCAGTTTTTCAATATTTTAAAAAAATATTCTCATACTAGTTAAAACTACATGCAAGGGCCAGATAGCCTTACGTTGTTATAAAAAAAAAATCAGTGTTTTTATATATAACAATAAATGTGCTTGACATGAAACAAGGGGGTGGATGGGAATGATTTATTTTAAATTACCAGATATGAAAGAGGGGGGGTGAGGATTATCTTTTGTGCTAATCTCCAAGACCTGGGAATCTGGGGGTGTGTGTGTGATTAAATGATATTTACTTATTTCAGTCTTTCAAGGTTGGCAGAAACGAGGCTTGTTTCCTAACTTTGAGGAGTTGGGGAATAGGAGAGAGTAGGGGGCTCCACTTAAGAATGAGAAATGTTTTTCAATTCAACTTAGCAATAGACAACATTATTTTCTTTACTGGATTTATTTATTTGATTTTTATTATGCCTTTATTACTTTATACGTTACTCAAGGCAGTGAACATCCATAATATTCCTTCCTCCTCCTATTTTCTCGACAACAAGAACCCTGTGAGATGGGCTGAGCTGAGAGAGAATAACTGGCCTAAGGTCACCTAGCTAGCTTTCAGAATTAGTCTCCTGGTTTGTAGGCCAGTCATATAAACCATTACACCAAACTGCTGTAATTTTTTTTCTCAGTCTTCTGACCAGGAGTAGGCAACACCCACCACTCCCAATATCATTTTTGTAGTTCCCAGATCAGTTCCCAAAATATATGGCTCAGGAACAGTGATCATACAGTAGAAAATTGCAATGGTACAAAATAACAGATTGTAACAGGATGACCTGGTCTTTTGCAATTGTGTCTTTACATCATATTCAAGAACATAAATTACATCGTTTGCCTAACAATACACATTTTATCTTCATCTCTTCTGAGGATGCCCATGTTAACAGGCAAAATAGCATTTTTGAGCTAGTTAAGTTTCGTTATTTACATATATTTTTCAATCTGGTCGCACAGCAAACATTGTTCTCAGGGTGGCAATATTGTTTCCAATTAATATAGCTCTCGTTATTTAGGCATATTTCTGGATTTTGAATGAAAGGAAGATCGATTCCATACCAACAAACATTAATTCAATCCACTTTGCTACCATTCATTGTTATACAGTTAGAGCGTACATATTATTTTCAACGTATTTTGATTTCATAATGACCTTAAAATTTCCCATAAGTAGTAATTGTAATAACAGAAAGCCTGTAAACATGTCTACTCTGTTCTTAAGAAAAAGAAGGTTTTTTTCAAATTACCCAAATTCTATTGATTTTAATAGTTGTTTGTGATTAAATTTGGATCAAGCCTACTGCAAAAAGCCAGAAAGTATGAAAAGTTATCATGAGAAATGAACTTTTGTCAGCACTGGACTGGACATCCATTTATCTAGGTTGATATAAGGACTTCTGCCCTGGGCAGACTAGAAGACCTCCAAGATCCCTTCCGGTCTTGTGATTCTCATTTGTATTAGGGCAGTATCAAGCAATAAAGGAGGTGCTTTGCAAAAAAACATTAAAGCAGCATTAAAAACCTCTCTTTAAAGGATTGAATTGCACTGCATTACTGCTTCCAAAGTTTTCCCTGGTTGCCAATCTGTGGTACAAAATGTGCATACACAATATTTCATCTGGAACCAGCAGTGAAAAAAAAAAAAGCAGACACAACTTGGGATCAGTTTTCAAAGCAGCTGCACAAGCCTTGCGAAGAATGAAAACGATTTCATGCTTCAATGAGGTGTGCTCTGTTCTTTCTAACAGGTTTGTGAACCACGTCTTTCAAATATTTTGCACAGCCCTAATCTCCAAACTCTTTCATTTCTGGCATATTTCTTCTCTAAACTCTTCAGATATTTGCTGGTCTTTTTCTACCATCTAGTGGACAAATGCTGTAAAACAAATTAATCCCTTTTAAATAGGACAGATTTGAGTTAATGCAATTTACTTCCAGCAAACATAACTTTGGAGTAAACTGGCCCATTTTAAGAAATGGCTAAAAATGGGTATTTTAAATTAATTCTGCACAAAATATAAGACTGAACAGGAACAGCTGGATGCTTCTAAATAATCTTACGTTAAATAGAAAGTATTGGAAAAAAGCAATTATTGTTAAAAATATGGCTGGTTTGTTTGAGTGCCAGGCTTCAAGGAATTCTATAGCCTTTTTGACTTGGCTTAATCTAGTATGGTCACAGTTCCCCAGTTGAAACTATGATTAAGTCTATCCATGTATTGTGAAATTAAAAAGTTTTCATTGTGTCTTCTAACTTTTAGTTGGTATTCATGAATGCACTCTGCTAATCTTCAGCCTGTTTGTCCTACATAATGGCTACACACTGTATGTTGTAGATGACTCCTGCTTTTTCATCTCGGGTTGCTGGGTCTTTTGGTTTACTAGCGTTTTGGAGGACGTTAGTTGATTTGTGTGCTATTGTGATGCCATGTGGCTCCACAGGTAATCCTCAAGATATGACAGGTCATTTAATGACCATTCAAAGCTACAACGGACTTCCCCAAAAGCTATATGTGACCCTATTTCAAAGTTATGAATTTTACATAACCCATTGGTCATTCATCCTTACAACCAACTGCAAAGACAATGCAGTATACCCACCTATTTATTTACCACCACCCCGCCAAAGGCACTGGGCCTTCTTTACCCCACCTCCCACCCCCACTGATTTCCCACAGTCTTTCTTCATCCCTGCTTTGGTATGTTACTTTGCAAAGCACAGACTTTCCCTCATCATACTGCGGCTCCGTGTGTATTTTGAAACCTGAGTGGCCTCTGTCAACACAGAGAACAAACAATGAATAGTTAAGAGGTAAAGAGATGATAGGGAAGGGCTCTTTTGCCCAGAATTAGAACAGCTCAGGTTTCAAACACGCTAAAGATAGAAAAAGACACCGCTGGAATTCACCCACATGGCCCAGCAACTAAGACTTGCTCTCCTTCCCTTCTCCCACCTCCCAAGCTTTGGAGATCTTTACATGATAAGTAAGCACTGTGAGGGAGGTAGCTGTGGGAAACCTAACGACCTGCACATTTGTTTAACATATGCATTTGGTAATGTTGGGATGGGGGCTTGTTCACTTAACATGATTCACTTAACATCCTCCTGGTGCCAGGAATAGAAACTTCTAATCCAGATCTGTTTAATTTAGTGATTCAGTACAATGCCCCTTTGGCTTTGACCTCCGAAGCAAAACCTGGACAGCACTCCACTGGATTCAAACCAGTGTCAGGCGCCAATATTGGAAATATAAATGATTCTGCCTTTAAACTACTGGAACCATTTGCATGAAAAATAACAAAGTCATGTGGGGTGGTGGAGGGTGGGGAAACAAGCACCACAGCAATTTGCAAACTGTATGCCATGTAGGTATTCAAGCCAATGAAAGAACCCTGCACCAAATGTAAACTCACTGGATTCCTGGAAGACTCAGAATGGATTCCTGCTAGCCATTCTGAGACTCAACCATGAAAATGAGGAACTCCTAGTAAAGGCAGGAGTCTCAATCCAAACTGAACACAGTAAAGAACAAATATCAGGAAAAATAAACCTCTAAAGCAGGATTGTCAAACTCACAACCCATGGGCCAGATGCACTTGCAGGCCACGCCCACCCCAGCTCCGTGAACGGGAGAAACATTGCAAAACATCACATGATGTTTATTTCTTTATTTATTGGTTCGATTTATATGCCGCCCTTTTCCGGAGACTCAGGGCGGCTTACAATGCGTTAAGCCATAGCCTTCATACTTTTGTATATACCTGCTTAGTAGGGCTTTCGCCCCCCCCCCAAGCAGTGTTCTTTTTTTATACAAAGTCAGCTTATTGCCCCCACAATCTGGGTCCTCCTTTTACCTACCTCGAAAGGATGGAAGGCTGAGTCAACCTTGAGCCTGGTGAGATTTGAACTTGCAGTAATTGCAGGCAGCTGGTGTTACTTAACAGTGCTTTAGTCTGCTGCGCCACCAAGGCTCTTATGTCTTAACAGTGCTTTAGTCTGCTGCGTCACCAAGGCTGCATCATGTTGGCAACGTGCTGCAGCAAGTTTGACACCCATGCTCTAGAGAAGTGATGGCGAACCTTTTCGGCACCGAGTGCCCAAACCAGAAACCCTGAGCGCTGGAAACCGAAGACCAACTAGCCGATGTGCATGCGCACATTGGAAACCAGAAGAGCAGCTGGCAATGGCGTGTGTGCCCACAGAGAGGGCTCTGCGTGCCACCTCTGGCACACCTGCCATAGGTTCACCATCATGGCTCTAGAGGTAGACTGATAGCAGCATGATAGAGGACAAAAAAAAAAAAAACTCAAGAAGACTGTCCCTACTATCCAGTCCAGTCCTGCTCCACTAAACTGAGCAGATGATTTCATATTCCCACCCACCCCTTGCAAATATCTGGAGAATGGACTTCATCAAATGTTCCAGTGACAGTGACAAGAAAATAGCTCAGGCTTCCCCAAAGGAAAAAAGGCATGTGTTGGTGATTGGGACTCACTTCTCAAAGGAACAGAATCAAGAATCTATGAAGGGAGATATGCGAATTCTGCAGTGAATGGGAGATCAAACAGGAAAGAGGGGGGGAAGGGAGGGGGGAATTCATCAAGGACCCCATAGTTCATCCCTGAGGTGAAATATTCTCTTTCATTGGTAAATGCCCCTACGTCCTCCAAATCTTCATCTCTAATCTTCAGGCTGTTGCTGATCTTGCATTGCCTTCTGCCCTATTTCTGTTAAACCTTGATCAAAATTTAATACATGTCTGGCATGAAAGCCAATACCTTTTGAATGATATAATTCAAACCTCAAGCTCTGAAAATTAAAACGTCTTCCCATTTGATCTGATGAAATACAATCTTTGCCTGGTAGATCTCTGGTAAAACAAAATGCTCCTTTTTTTCAAACTACACATAGAGATGTTTTTTCAAAAGATACTTAACACTTTCAGCTTTTAATCTTAAATCAAAATAATCATATGAAATTTATTTCTGTACTTTTTTTTTCCCGATAAACAACAGTGGTACTTAAAATGTAAGATATATTTATAGATGTTATTTTTCCTTATCGTTAACTTCTAGTTTATCTTTTATTTGTGCTCCACATGAACCATATCCAATTTGG